ATTACACAAGGGTTATTGCAGGAAATTATCAGATTCATTAATTCGGGTTCGACAAGCCCTGGCTTCGGTGGATGCAATTAGATTTTGCTGGGGCGAAGCAGTCGTACGTTGCTTTTAGTGTTGACGAAGGGTAAGACATGGTTTTGCATAAACAAAACAAATTCTTTTGATAATTTGATTGAGGATAATTGGATTGGTTGCGATATATTCACCTGGAGAAAGATACAAATGACGAAATGTGAATTATTGTTTACTTTTCTGGCTGTCTATATTTGAAGAAAACTTATTTTAAGGAAATATATATACAACCCTGTTATATTGATCAACAGAAAAGGAATTTTCCGACAAAATGATACATACCTACTTATCTAGTAAACTGGTTTTATGAAGCAAATAAACAAATTGTTTAGAGTTCAATCTGGTCACTTAGATAATCAATAATTTGTCATATTAAGTTCAAGGTCAAAATGAAAAAAATGCGACAAACAGTTATCACTCGGAGAACGAATTTAAAAAACAGCTTTGATCATCGATGGGGTTTACGGAATGTACCATTTTGCAACTTGTGCGCTGATTGGTACCAACTGAGAAGTCTTGAGGCACACTAGCCTTTGGGGATTATTGTTGATCATGATTGCTTATTTGAGGCATTCTTGGCGACACCATTGTACTCAAACGATGATAATCAAGATTGTAAATGCTACCTGACACTCGGGATTGACAGGTGTATGCCTTAGACATTGTGATGGGCGCGAGTAATTAGAAGCAAATGTCAAACAGAAGCACATTAAAGACTTTCCAAAGTTTTTGTATTTCATACAGTCAGCTGAATGTAAACCTTGCGAACTCATGGTATGAATTCGAAAAAATGTGAACAAACTTAACGTGAGGTTAGAGCACTCGCACTCCGAGTCTACGGTGTAAATTCCAATTTTTCCAGTTTACTGAACGCCTAATTTGACCGTTTTGGTCATAATTACAATGATTTGTTGTCACTGAACAACCCGGCAAACTGGTTNACTATTGGATTCTCAGGTATTTAGGGTTTGCAAAAAAAATTATTTTTGTCCGAGTAAAATGTGAGGGGTTATGCATAGTTCTGAAGCTCTATGTAAATTTGCACAACCTTTTGGTTTCCCACGCACCCAACTATGGGCGTACGAAAATATACCAAAATTCCAGACAGGTCAACAAAAATTTAGTGTAGACACTTTGAACCAGTAAACTGGATCAGAATTTCTGTTTCACAGAATTTTACGATTAATTAATGGTAATAGTCTGCTAAATCACATAAACCAAAACTTCGGTACTTTGTGTAAAACATGCTGATGGCTGGAGGTATAAAAATTTATAAAATCTACTGATTATACTATTTATTATAGTGCTCTTATCTTCCTTTCACAAAGAGACAAATGCATTCATGTTTGAAGAACTTGAGTAACTGCTAAATTTCTAAATTTCGGCTTTCTTATCCTGCTCCTTGAAAATGCCTGTTGACTAAATTGTTTGCACAAGCGATGATACAACCAAAACTCATTCATTAAAAATATAAAATTGCGACTGGGTGGGTTGTAACCCCATGAGGGATGATCAGTTACTCCGTGTCAATTCAAAACCCATTATAAGGATTGTGTGAGAATGATGCAAACAGGAGTTGTGTAAATATTGGCAAAACTTTAAACTGTAAGAATGAACATTTCTACCACAATCTCAACAAATTACTTCGAAAAAAACTATGTATAAGTTAATCTCAGTGTCGTAAATGGAGTGTTGAGGATCCGACAGTACAAGTTGCGGTCACATTGGGGCTCTCATCTGGAGTGTACAAAACTTACCACCATCTTCCAGCTTTCTCATTTGCTTATTTCTGAAGCTTTTAATTGCTTGCAGTATCCATCCCAGATATTGGTTGTGAAATTGTTGTCCAATGATAAATTGGATCAATAATATTATTAAATTTTCACCATTTCACAGTGAGCTCTAAGTGTTGATTATGTTGTCCTGAAACTTCAAAATTGTTTATCCCAAAATCCAAGAGCTCATCCGCATGTCGCTTAAGTTTGAACTATAAAACATCAAAAACGAAATAAACATTCATTTATTCAGTATTCCAACATCTCTGCGTTCACAGAGATAATTTCATGTGTTGACAGATACGGAAAACAAGAACAAAAAAATTTTTAAGTTACAATAAAAAGTAAAAGTAATAACTACTTTAACTTGTTCTGTTGCGGTCAGTTTCATCACTACATTACCCTAATGCTGGAATTGCCTGCTCAAAGTTAGTTGTTCAACAGAATAGTTCGATCACATCACAACAGTGAGTACAAAACCCCTTACCCGAGAGAACAATTATTACTGTGGCCGAAACATTCACATGAATGAGGCGCTTGTTGAAAGTCTTCTGATGACTTACAGAGGGGCAAATATATAACAAAATTATTAAAAACCAAAAATTGTGTACGGAGTGGATTGAAAATGATAAAAAATAGAGAAACCAAATGAATTTGTGAGATTTATAATAAAACAAAAATTCAGTTGCCCTTGGATTGGTTGGGCATAATCAATGTTGGCTGCTGGTTTTCAGTTTCAGTTTGAACAACCATTAACGACGCATATTCCAGCGCCGGTTTTGGTTGCTGTCTTTTGGCTGCCCATTTGGATGAAGAATAGGAGAAGAAGGGAAAGTGGAAAGTGGAGTCGAAAAAAAATGCAAGGCTGCTGGTAAGCTAAGCCTATTGGAAGAACAACATGAATTGCATTAATTGTCCGAATATTGATATATGTATGCCGTCCAAAAAAAATAACGCATGCTATAACAGTCGAAACACCGCTGTCAATATCGTAGTACGCAAGCCTGACGAAATATCCGGGACAGGGTTATTCGAGGAGTATTAATTAGTCGCGGTACCATACTCAAGGGCTTGATGGCTACGGCATGTCTTACGCAATACCACCAGACTGACATCTTTGGTATATGGTGATGGCGAATGTTGTGTTAATCAGGAATGACTCTACATACATCAGTGTTGTAGTAGATGGAACAAGTCAAATCAGCGGTAATAATCTCCCTGGCTGGAGTTCTAGAGACTTGTATTGACATTTATTTAATTTCTTAATATATTTATCCTTTATATTTTTTACTTTCAATTTCGTGATACCATTAACTTATCGTTCATCCTTTGATGACTTATGCATTGAATGAACAAATGGGTTGACAAAGTACCCTAAAGAACGTCGCTATAAATTAGTTCCCGGCGAATGATTGTGCAAGCCAATTACGAAAAGAAATTCGATATTTTTGGACACTATCTGCCATTCGTCCAATAGAAAATCAGTAACATATCCAAGAGTTTTCAACTTTCCACTCGTCGACGAAATACGCCGCAGGACTAGCCCGAGAGCATGCTTGAGAGAAACCACATTTCACTAAGGTTTTTGTCACCAGACTGTCTTTGGGCTTAGAGAACGAATTAGAAAACGAATGAGATATTATTGGCATACAACTAAAAAAGACTTAATACTGAACAGAATAAAAGATCAAAGCAAATTGTATGATTGATGCTTTGGGAATGATTTATATCAAATGTTTTTGAAGTACATTTCGATAATGAAAGGGTTGTTGAAAGTTTGTTTGTCCACTAATCAGTTCTTCATGGCCAGAGACAATTTGTTTTGCTCATATATAATAATAATTAATGGTTGGATTAATTTTTCTCTCGAGAGCATTGCCGAACGAGAGTTGAATAGTGAACCACATGAACAAGGAACACAAGTACTGTTCTCAATAGCCTCCTTCTGTCGACTTCATGAGTTAAGCGAAGTCAATATAAACCTTGCCAATACGTTTGGGAATGGCAAAACGTTGTTTTAATATTTTATTACATCGCTTAAAACCACCGAGCACATTTGCAAACCTGTAACGTCATACAACATCAGTGTGAAATTCCAATCGCATCGTTCAATCTGTAACTGCACATCTGTTGCTTTTAATATTAGGCAACGTGACATGTGTCTCACTTACCCTAATAACTAGCTATAATCTTACCATTTCATTCGGTGGTGTTTCTTTGTATACTACTATACACTACCTTCTGCTGTTATATACCTCATCCTTATCACATATCACAATGATCAGCTTTGATAGATAGACTTATACTGACCAATACTGTGCGCACTTGTTGAGTTCACGTTTTCTATGTGCGCTATCGGACATCATTCATCTGATAGCACTGTAAAGTTCTTTAAACGAAGGGAGCTCTTTTTTGCACAAGTACACGACTACGGTTTATTTTTCCATTACATTAACTGATTGATTATAGCCTTAAGCCACTTAGCTCTTTGCCATGCTGTGACAAATGGAGGAGATGTTTTGCGGAATATCACTGAGGGGTGGTATCATGTGATCAGTCGATGGTGATAGTGAAGTACCGGTTTCGCGTTCCATTTTGACTCATAGAGAAATAACTTGGTTACTAAAGGGATGAATTTAGTTCGGTTTTGCGCTTTTCCACAGAATAGGGCGGGCAAAATTCTAAATATTATCTTATGAGTTTTCGAAAGAACTTTGGTAAATAGAAAAGTCAAGTTGACAAACAATGAATAATTACCACTATATTTCAAAGTTCATATAGGTTTTACAACTATAAGTTTTATGAGATAACAATCGTTAGGTCTTTTGCCAAAAAGGTCGAATATTTCATTTACTTATGCCAATTTAAAATCTGCCTAAATTAAAGTTATTTTAAAGGAATGCTCTTTTTTCATTTCCACCGCATTGTCTCACTCACTAACGTGATTCTGGAACGAAGTACAATAGTCGCTTCAGAGAATATGTAACGAGATAATTAATCGTTCCGTTTGATTTCTTGTCAACACTGGTTTTTAGACAGTTTGATCATTCACCGATGTACGACTGCAAAAGTAACGTTGAGTTTCGTTCGCGCAACCATCTTTTTCTCTTTTTTTCAGACAAGTTCGATCCTGACTCGTGTATCAAGATGCCTGATTTTAAGCAATGGAAAAACAATTTCAAAAATCGAATAAACAATCCGGAGTCCCAGAGACGTATGGTCTTATGCGTTGTTTGTGTTGCTCTCCTGCTGGACAATATGCTTTATATGGTCATTGTCCCGATAATTCCAGGCTATCTAGAAGCGATGTCTGCCATCTCTCACAAACAGTTTATCTGGACCAATGGAACCTATTCACAGGAGGTATCAGCGAACAGTCCAATCATTAACGCGTCCACCGGACCGTATCAGATCAAATGGAAAGTGCATCATTCTGATGCTAAAATTGGAACTTTGTTCGCATTCAAAGCAATCATCCAGTTGTTATTTAATCCTGTCTCCGGAACTGTTATCGATCGAATGGGCTATGATGTGCCGATGATGTTCGGATTGTGTGTGATCTTTGTGTCTACTTCTTTGTTTGCATTTGGTCATTCGTACGGAGTCATGTTTATCGCACGTGGATTACAAGGCATGGGCTCCGCATTTGCTGACACTGCCGGTCTGGCCATGATTGCAGATAGATTTACGGAGGAAGCTGAACGTACTAAGGCCCTGGGTATTGCCTTGGCATTTATTTCGTTTGGCTCTCTAGTAGCTCCTCCTTTCGGTGGGATACTTTACGAGTACTGTGGTAAAGAATTACCATTTATTACCCTAGCATTTGTTGCACTGCTCGATGGATTCTTGCTCATGGCGATTATGCAACCAGTACGGATTGAACGAACTGTAATGAAAGCCGAAGGAAATCTGCCACGTGGAACTCCAATTCATCGGCTTTTGATGGATCCTTTCATAGCTATTTGTGCCGGGGCACTGGCGTTTGCAAATATCTCGTTAGCTTTTCTTGAACCAACTATCTCCAACTGGATGTCAGACACTATGCAAGCGACCGAAACGCAAGAGGGTTTGGTCTGGTTGCCCGCATTCCTCCCACATTTGGCTGGTGTCATTACGACAGTAAAACTGGCACAGAAATATCCAAAGTATCAATGGCTCATGGCTGCCATAGGATTAGCGATTGAAGGAATTAGTTGCTTCTTCATTCCATTCTGTCGACATTTCGTGGCTCTGATGGTCCCCATTGGTGTTCTATGCTACGGGATCGCGTTAGTTGATACGGCTATTTTGCCAACTATGGCATTTCTCGTGGACAGTCGTCACGTCTCGGTCTACGGCTCGGTGTATGCTATTGCAGATATCTCATACAATTTGGCTTACGCGCTTGGTCCAATCATAGCCGGTGGACTGGTTCAAACAATCAACTTTCTGGGTTTGAACATTTTTATCACTCTTTCTACTTTGACCTACGTTCCAGTATTGTATCTGCTACGAAACTGTTACTCCGATGAAGCTATATTACAAGCAAGTCGTGAGCTACGTCGTAAGAGTACCATCTCGTTGGGCCCGGGAGCAGGAGCGGCCGGAAAGGCTTACCGTGATTCTATTTCAATGACGGATACACAAAAGGACACCATGAACTATCCTGGCTACGAACAAAGTCAACCGTTTGAGCAAACTCGACTAACGGCTAATCAATTTGGTACCAATCAGACCAAATCTGTGCCCAATGACTTGCCCATGACCCAACAGGATGGATACGGTTACGGTTAAGTCATCTGTGCTGCACAAACACATGAAAAGTTGTTGGCCTGCATAAAAACGAAAAAAGCTTGCCTTGAGAGGATAACCATCTTTTTCTATCTATACATTTGCGTGCTCCTCATTTCCTGCAAATGCAATTGATCCCTCCGCAGTTGCTCTGCAATTCAGCTTGATCCATGAGTCATGCGCTTTCCGTTGTCCGTTCAAAGGTTACCACAATATTCAGCATTTTATCGTTCATTCACATACTTCGTATTGACAAAAGAGAACCGAAAGAAACAAGCACACAATGAGATCACTGCTTTACATTTTGGGGAAGACGTCACGAATGAAACGGATACAGAGTTTTAGCCGAAATCAGACAAAGACTCTTGCGTTCTGCAAACAATTACTTTATTCTCCTATCCACCCCCATTGGCCCCGAAAATGAGTATAAACTTGTTTAGTCATATATCAGCAGCTAATCAACCAAAACAACAAACACAAGCAAACGAGCCACAATATTTTAGCATTTCAGTGTGAAGGAATGCACTGTACTCTAATCATATTTAAATCCACCCGATTTTGGGGTTGTTTCTTTCGATTTTCACTTTTGCCCATCAATATACTTATTTATATACTCCTCAAAAAAAACATGCGCGTTTATCCGTGTGTTTATGTGATTCTGAGATTAGTAAATACTAACCGATACGTGATCCTATCCCCGATCTTCCTTTGTTCCTCTGTCGCATTTATGCCCCACATTTTGGCTCTGCTTCGAACCTCTTGTGTGAGAAAAGTCAAGGGAGTGCGAGAGCACGTCTATCAAATGTACATAGAGGATTGAAAAAAAGTGTCCGCAGATTCTGGGTTCTTCAACTTATCTACGTGTCTGTCTGTCTGTCTGTCTGTCTGTCTGTCTGTCTGTCTGTCTGTCTGTCTGTCTGTCTGTCTACGCTGATTGTTTGTGTTATCGAATTTATGTGCCTTATAATGGTTTTCATAAAATAATAACTGGGTATGAATTATGGAATAGTCTCTATCCTAGCTGTAAGGAACTATTATAATTAGAAAATTTGCATGATGAGAGAGACCGATGTCTACCACGAGGAAAATTGCTTATATGCTCCCCTTGCCAATAGAAAACTGACCGAATTCTGCANACTCGAATGGAACTCAAGGTTGGTTGGTGTCCGTGATGAAACAAAGTTTGGTCTCACAATCTAACTGCTAGACTGGAACTAGATAAGAAACAGATGGATTTGCAACTCGGTCGTAATTCATTTGATTAGGGAGCTAATCATAAATTATCTTGCATAAATCCCTCGTGAGCCGATAAATGGAGTCACGTTTAGAAAACATGAAGAAAGTAACTGACCTGTAAAGCTGGAGGACCAGTAAAAAGTTCCTTGTTCCATTTTAGTTTACTATGAATGCTTATTTTGGATGCGTGGATATGATAATGACTGATTTCGTGTTTTAGGACAAATTTGGGCAGCGCCACTGACCACAGTCCAAATGTCCCATCCCGTGAAAGAATTTGTGCGACGCATTTCAACCCTTGATATCGAACAGTATCCCCAATGGGATTTATCGGTGAGTCAACAAATCTGTCATCTTCACGTTCACCTTTAGACTTAGGATAAATCATTTTTAGACTATCCATGATTTCGAAAAACTGTTCACCTGTACACCTTCATAAGTTTCATTAAGAAAGAAACTCGGATATCAAACAAAATTCACTTAAGTTAAGACCGTTGTATGTACTACAAGGAAAATTAATTCGATTTATATTTAACCACCAAATTTATCTCTAACAGATCCGTCGGTTTTANCCAAACAGAAGGTTTTTCATTTTCCAGAAACATTATCCCATCATACAATACGGCTTCATTCAAAAATTGCATCAGAGTTGTAAGGAATTTTGAAAATAAACGGATGAAAGTAACTTGCGATTTCATCCTAAGGTTAACATTGTATTTACGAAAAATAATCTCGGTGGTATTATTGATAAACTGCAGTTACGTCATGATTAGCTCTTATCGATTTAAACATGTCATCCTCATTTGAATAACTTTTATGCATTTGGTACATGTGATTACTCTGTTTTCTGTTTTGATATTCACTGCGAAATTTTCGCCTTGGTGTGCATGCCCTTTGAATAAACGACAACAAGCATAAAAGCACCGGATTTTTTGAGTTGAAATAAAAGACTGCATGATGCAAGTCATGAATAAATGCATTTCTTGTGCTCAAAAAATCAAAGAAATAGTTACCAATTCTGCTCAGTTTCTGATTCCGTTGAATGTAAACTCGTAGTTATATGCGTCGGTCCACAAGACATGGCTTTAATCAGGTATTATCAAAAAATAATATGCAACAATGGACTTTTGTCACCTTAAATCAACTGCTGAAATCAATTCCGTTTGCTCAGCAATGGTTTATGAGTAATGCATAGATAAGCCGTCAAAGGTTTCCTACAAGGATTTCGCAGCTGTGTAGTGCTTCCGATACCCTTCAGTGATGCATGTGTGACTTCCTCATCCCACATTCTCGTACTAATCAGAGTAATTTTCCTCATGTGAAAAAGTTAGGGTATAATTAACGTTCTCCATGAGTAGAGATGTTTAACTGAAGACGAAGCATTAGATCTCTACAAATTGTTTCTGGCGTAGGCAAATCAATCTTAGTTCTAAAATCGTTTGCAGCTAGATTCATAGTGTCGATCTAGTTTTGAGGATCGGTTCAAGCTCCATCATGCGAGCTACAAATGTTAGTCTTGGTTACACTTACCAAGGACGTGAACAGTGGATCACTTACCCGGTATTTGCTTCCTACAATAATTTGTCCGCATAGGTGGTTCACCTAATTGAATAGTTTCTTCAAGTTAATGCGTCGACTAGATGAAGAGAGTCACTTGTTAAGCGCCCGAGCCTCAGGCGATCATTCTCTGGACGGCTGTTGGAGCATTATATTCTTAGTTTTTTCAAAACTAAAAAGTTTAAGAGGCAAAAAATCGTCTTCAGATTGGAGTTGCAATAACTAACTACGATACCTGGTCAACTATATCAACCACATTGGGATCTGTCAGTTTTACAACGCTAAAGTATTTGTTGTGCTTGACAGGTTTCTTAAACCATAAATCGTGGCACTTCATTCCCCCTTTGCCGGATTCATCAACACTAGCTTGAGCGAGTGATATAAAAACAATAAGCGTCAAATACTGCAACACGCGTTAATTCCGACCCGGTTCAATTTCAAGGATAACTTTATTGATGAAATTTTCAGCAAATTTTTTCCATCAAAAATATGGCATGAAATCTTTCCATACGCACAAACTCGTAAACNAAGACTGGACATGGGTAAATTTAGACCTTACCTTTGAGGGTATATTATCAATAGTCAGGGAACTATTTCCTCGATGACAGAACCACTCGTTTCTGTTCAGAATCAGGATAGCCTTGTTCAAGCCTTAACAACCCTGCCGGTATCAACAAGGTTCTTTTGTCCGGTTGTAGTACTAACTCAATTTTTGGATTGATTTTCTTCTTGCTCCATAAAACGTTACTTCAATTTGAATTTCATTCACCTGTCATTCACAGTATGCAGCCTAAACCTTTTGCATGTTTTTGTGTGAATAGCATATATATGTATTTATATATACTGCATAGCTTATAATGAGAAAGGAAACAAAACGTGAAACGTTTTAGCACACATTATTGTTCAAATAGTTGTTTGGCAGATTTGAAGTTTGTATGTCGATTGTGAAAAGTTCAGTAAGTAAGTTGGATGGGTAAATTCGAATGTGAAAAAAGATCAGTGCTATCGGTGTGGCCTCGTAGCTCAGCTGGTAGAGCACACATTATTGTGTGATGAACAATGAAGGCCCCAGAGTCACGAGGACCTAGTGTTCATTTTTACGGCAACCGGTAGTCTGACCCTTGAAATGTGGTGTGGTGAACCACACAAGACTCCAAACTTTTAGGCGTGGTATCGAGCCGGGCAAAAGCGAAGCTATTTACCACACAGAGAAAACAGCGCCAGGCTTTGAAAAAATGTACTTTATGTGATCACATTCATTTCACCTAAACCTTACGGTGAAAAACGACAACTCAACTCTTCCTGGTGCACATTCTTCTCCCTCCCATTAGTGGCAATAAACAGCGACTCAGTAGTAAACGTTTTCCACACTAGTTTCAGATAACTGTTTGCCCGGAAAAAGTCGTATCAAGAACAAGAAAATGAATATCCTACAATGTTGCTCCAAGCAGTTGAAATGCACAATCATTCACTCCAAAACTGACAAATCGGGTACAGTAAAAGCCCTGAACCAATTATTCAAAGGAGTATTTACTAAAGTGTGTGATAGCCCAAGCATTTGGACTCATTTTTCACCTTACTGTGATTTTCTTAGATGTGCACAAGTACCCTAAACTGAGTAGAATTAATGGAGGTTCGGTCGCTCAAATATCAACCATGAACATTTTGTTGCTTCTATTTGGTCTGACAGTTGGATATATTTGGCTTACAAATAAAGGATATGTATGATATCAAACTCACTCCCGGGTGATTATTTTTTTACATGTATTCCGATATTTCACGTTCACGATGATTAGTTCCCGACAGTTCTTCAGTGTCCTTCGCCACTTAAACCAAGAGTAATTGATCTCTATTTACTGTTTATATGGAACGGTTTGAAGACATATGTACAGTGGTCAGTTGGTGACCAAAAGAATCAAGTTGAATCTGTCTTCTTCTGTGGAATAAAGTTTCTATTTATTCACCGAATTCTTGCAATAGAATTGGTTTTAAGATAGGATCAAACACAAGTCTGCATCATGAGGATATTTCCAGTTTGCAATTTCTGGTTTATAAAAGTCTAACAATCTACAATCTAAGGTTAATTATTTCGCTCAAAGTCTACTTGTAACTTTAATAAAGAAAAATACTAATCTATTTTATATAGATCAGAAAACCTGCCTGTGATGAACAATAAGACAATGGTAGCAGAGAGAATTGGTGTACATCAAAGATATTTCTGACCAGTGGTATTGACCAAGGATGCGTTATCCAGTAACACGATGGTGAGATGAAACTTACGCATTCTGAAAGGGACAAATTGCTCATGATAAATTCTTGAAATTTGTCAGCGTATTTTAGTTATTCTACACCTGTTGAGCAATCTAAATGACGTGATATCAAGTACATAGATCGAGTTCATTGTTAGCTGCAAATTATGAAAGAATACACTCCTACATTCTAGTGAATAATACCCCTTGGTCTCACTCAGTCATCGATAAAACGTGCATGAAGAATTTTGTAACAAGAAAAAGTGGAAAAATCTTGTCAAGAAAACCAGTTACCGCTCTGATTGAGGAATGTTTAAGCAGGATTATGGAATCTGCGAGAGTTTAGTGCTTATGCGAATGAGGACGACCAAAATACTGAAAATAACAATGTCCCCCAAAAGCCCACAGGCATATTTCAAACTGAGTATCTTACGCTAATCAATGAATAGAATCAATGAATAGTCAAATGAACTTTTACTGAAGACAAATGGTGATTAACGAGCAATGAAGCATTTCTCAAAAAAAAATTTGGATCCTTTGGGAAATCGCTGATTATTGTTGGGCACTCGTCCGCGTTGCACGATACATTTTCCAGGGCTATATTATGATTCGATGAATATTCTCATTGCGGCAATAGGAAAGCAAACTGGGGAATAAGCTTGTTTTGGATAAATCCTTCCTAAAATTAACAAGTTTCTAATGATACTTTCGAGGTGCCAATGGGGAGACGAAATGCAACATTTCAATTCGGCGTTTAGAAATAAAAGAGATTGAGTATTGCGTTGTTCTGATATTTTTGATATGTTCAAGATATGCATCTTGCAGACACAGGACATCAGGCGAACGTGATCACGTTCTATTCGATCTTCAGAATACCGCAAACCAAGTGAAGGCTCTTCGTAAGTGACACAGCGCAAAAGTTGACCAATTACCTGTTCCACTGGATTCAATTTAATAGAAAGCTTATCAAAGACGCCAATCGACACTAATGAATCCATTAGTTGTGATGAAGTTCTCCCAGAGCATGAAATTACTATCTGGTGGCATGACCGTGGTCATCCTCATTGTGAACCTTAAAACCCATTTATTTAGTATCTTGTTTAGCAGTTTGAGTGGAAATGCTCTTAGAATGACGCCGGTCATATTTTCACCAAGGAGTCTCCTTTTAGCGCAAGTTAGTGTGCATCGTACAGTTGCCCAATCCATGTTATGTCTAGCAGTTTTGACCACTATCATCAGTTTTCCTGTTTAGCGTTTGTGGGTTGATCGACCTGGGATAAAGACGACATTGATCAACCTGATGCCATGTCACAGTAAGGTTTGTGTTTTGAGGATCTGGCATTAACAAAATAAAGTGTACAATATGTTCTGTACTTTCCAACATCAAATAACATTGATTTGTTTGAATTTTGCAAACAGGTTGTTCAAATATTCTGTCACTGATAATGTTGGTAGTATACGATCAGTGGCGAAAAATCAGAAAAAAGTATATGGCCTTTTGGTATATGAATAAAAGACAATGAAGAATCATTTTGGTGATAAAGCAATCAGATGATGAGATTACCGATTATCTCTAGTGAAATGAATTCTGCTGTTGGAAGAATTGCGATTCTGACTATGGAAATGAGTAGCTACATTGTGTGAACTGTATGGAATCACCTAAGTGAAGTCCGTTAAGGCGGAAACATGCACAATCTAGCCAGCTCATTTTGGTTGTAATCGAGTTGTGTTAAAGCTAGGAGGGTTATCGAAATGGTTATTTTGTAATCAGACTTCTTGCTTGGCTGGTTCAATTACTTGTGTTAAGAATTTCGGTTCACTGAACAAAGAACCACACTTCTCTCAACGGATGACATTAAGATTATGTCTAGAAGAAAACTATCGAAAGTTTGTCAAAAACTAGACCTGAATTGCGATCCAAAAGTGATCCAAAGGGATTTAATATCCATACACTTCATATTTACTTATACTCAATAAACAGAGCATCGTGCTTTCACTTTTTCCCATCGCATTTTATTTTTCATCAGGCCCCACTTCCACAACTACCAGTCCCAAAATTGAAAAACACTCTCGATCGGTACCTACGGCTTGTACTTCCCGTGGTCTCCACAGAAGACTATGAACGAACTAAAAAGATTGTGGAAGAATTCGGTCGACCCGGGGGTGAAGGAGAACAGTTGCAAGAGTTATTGGAAGAGTACGCCAAAACCAAAGTGAACTGGGTACGTTCCGTGTGGGGGAACCAAAGGCATTTTAATTTCATTTAGTTTAACAACTGGTCTAGTGAAGTCCATTTATTTGTACCTGATCTCAACTGTTGTCAAACTTTAAAAACCATCGTATAACTTCATCGTATTGCTTTGTATTTTACTGTAATGTATTTAAGCTTTAGCGAGTTATACACAGGCTTGTTATAGGACTGGAGGTTATTTCCATCACATTAACAAAAAGAGCGATAGTTATATCCAAAAAATAGGTTTCAATATTGAACTGTCAATATTTTACTTTCATTTATTCGATAATCAAGACCACCGGGTGTAACTCTGTTGCCGAAACGATTCGGTGGTGTGATTATTCAAACAGCTGGTAGACCGATGCAGTGCCGATAGCGAGTCGCACTTTCACCGCGACTCCAACGGTAGAAAATACTAGAGTATGAAGCTTGGATTAGCCCATTCGATTTTTCAGAGGCACCAGCACTCTTGATGGTCTTGGGTGTGGGTCTCACTCCTTGGGTAAGGGTTTGAAGTCCCACCCCGAAGAATCGCGGTTCGATTCCTGATAGGGACACAAAAGATTTGCACTGCTGACGAGTCCCAGACAGGATGAAACAGCTATCCAGTGCTCTTTGTTGGTTATCACAAACATTTCCATCCCATTGAAGGTAGAAAATTCTGTTTAAATTTTGACGTTTCTTTACCATGCAAGCGCTTTTTATGCTTTCAACAGAAAGTTCCCTACTCAAAATCTTTTGATGTGTGGCCTGGTATCTTATTTTTCAAATAGTTTGATTAGTAATTTCTATCGATAAACTAAAGTTGCCCGGTTTAATGCCAAAAAGCACTCTTCTAAAAATAATGATTCTATTGCTCAACAAGGTTCTGCTCTGTCCCTATCCTTCTTATTCTTTTTACGCGCAAAATCTTCTCATGCTTCAAAATTTGTGAAGGGTTATTTTCCATAGTGAAAAGCTAAGTTTAGCAGAAACTCAGCTTTTGCTGTGTACTGTACACACGGGAACAGAAATTCACGATTGAATGTGAAACCCTCGTTTGGTATAGATGTCATGTTTCCTCAGATCGAATTCAAGTTCACCTACCACAACAGATAGGTCAGGATAGTCATGTAGTTTAATATTTCCTATGTTGAATCCACATTAAACTTTGTCTACGCGTCGACAAGCCCGGTGATTACAACCCAATGGGATGATTCATTCAAGATTTCGAAAGAAAGCTCTAGAACCGATTGAATAAACCATATTTTCTTTTAGTGTGGTCTTGTGTACTGTACGGAGTTGCTGTAATAGACTAGTTAAGTCAGTATGTCTTTTATGCAATCCAAAGATTAATTCTTGATAGTTTACGAATTTGTACATCCAAGGATTAACGATACAGAACTTTGCAGTACGTAGAAAAACATTTAATACAAAAGTCTTTCCATGCGATAAGACGCGACAATTGTATTTCAAATAAATAAAATATGGAAAAGGTTTGGAATGGTACTGCTTCTATGTACTCGAAGGGAAGAGTTGAAATTCGTTGTACGTTCGTGGATTGTAGCCAACAACAAATACTGGAGACCAGTACACAATCAGTGTTAGAAAATGCAAGCAATCATAGATTTAAAACGGTCTGTGGGATTTTGTCAAAGCGGTTTCAATGGAAGTAGATTGTCACAGGTTGCCGGAGAGTAGCACTATTGTACTTGTAACCGAAAGAGACAATAGGATAACACAGAGTACTATTTAATTCAGATGTATGTTTTTGATATCACTAATCATTCAATGTCAGAACAAGGGTAACTTTTATTTGTCAAACTACTGAATACCCGCCTACCGATTTTGGTTCTTCATACGGTGGTGGCCCGATGGTAGTCATCAAATTATCGATCTGGATGATGTGTGTTCGAATTCCACCAGCACAGCCTGACTTTCCGCATTGTGTGTTGTACGGCAGCCCTTTGATTGGCCGCTTCTTCCGTTACTGAAAGGTGTATCGTTATGTATTCAATAAAAGGAAGAAAAATGAAAAAGTAGGTTGTACATCTAGGCTACTGTTAAAACATATCCAGAATTGTCATACAATAAGGCTTAGATTATGAGGGAATGGGGTTATGATGAGTTTCTTCGGCTGCACATTTGGTGAAGACAGGATATCTGGCATCAACCAGTTCGGCTTTCACTATAAGTACGTCCGACAGACATAGAGATACCCCCCCCATTTGTTAAAACCAGTATTGTCTCTGATGTTTTTGAAATAATGTCGTACTATATATTAGCATATACTGTTACATTTGTTCTTGATTCGAAAAACAGATCACCATTTGTTCAGGTCTCTCCAACTTCACCTCGGTATAGGGCACTGAGGAGAATGTTTTGGTTGGTATTTTTGTGCCTTAATGTTTCGATGCATGTGACCGGATGACTAGTGATAATGAGTACTGTGCATAAAAAAAAACATGAAAGCTGTGTTGCATCCCCGAACATGTATTTCAGGTCACCGAATGGTGGTTAGATGATATGTACTTACAGAATCCCCTCCCGTTACCAATCAACTCCAATCCGGGCATGGTCTTCCCGAGGCATTCGTTCATCAGCGCTCGACAACAGCTGAGGTAAGCCAGTTGTCAGCTTACACGGTGTAGTGCGAATTCTCGTTTGCATCAAGCCGTGCACAACTGATAATAAAACACTGTCATTCACTCGCATGTGACTGATTAGCCTTTCTGTTGACTTTGGGAGTATTGACCAATCCCGTATTTTCTCAATCTGTTTAATTTAATAAAAAAATGACAAGAACTTGTTTTCGTAAATGATGAGTATTCTTCCTTAGCTTGGAAAAATTCGAACTGTGTCCAGTCTAGATAGGCACAATAAATAACTGCAATCTGATAGGTTTACGAAAGGGTGATGGTGGTCACGTTTTGTTCCTAAACAATCAGAAAACCAAACTCAATATTAGATTGCTTCAGAAAGCTTTAAATCCCATTCAACAAAACGTATATGTAATCCTAGATCGTCTGTTAGTACGAAAGATTCTCAACAGAAGCCCAGCTTACTGTGCTTTGAACAACCGAAAGAATATAATGCTAATATGAACAAACGTTGAATACATGTAACAGCATATCTGAACCCAATTGATGGGCGTGAGAAAGCGCCCTGTCGTCGAGTAATTGATTGCTGCTAGAGAAGTGCGGGAATTGATCCAATGGTTGGGTCAAACAGTACGCACAAATTCAT